ATAATGGATATAAGAAAAGATCCTAACCCTTCTAGAGTATTCCCTTCCTCAATGACACTTGCTTCCTCTACTGTCAAACAAAAATGACTTCTCAACCTTTAAAAATACTAATTCACACCTAATGGGTGCATATCCTAATATTACCTCAATTAAAAATAAAAATAGATTTGAATTATAAAAAAAGTTAAAGAACATGGATAAAATAAAAGTATTGTTTCAAAGTTACATCCTGCTTCCTCCCCCACTTGTTTCTAACTGCCATATAATTCCTAAAGAACACCAACCAAAGCTGTGAAAGTCAAAAACAGAAAGGGAACACTCACCAAATGCCAGATCTACGCAAGCACCAAAGGAAGCAGGTATTTAAGTCTTTTCTTACTGTATCTAGTTTTGGCTATCTAAACATGTTTATATATTATCTGCACTTTAATCTACTTCCCATTTGAAACTGTGCATTTTTCAAGAACACAAACTTAGGTTACTCTTGTTTAATATCCACAGTGACTAGGTACATATTCTTAGATGTAACTAACTGATGCGTGAGTGAGGAACTCTTGCATATGCCTGTTGTTTTAAATGAATTTCAACTGCTTATTAGGACAGTGGATCAAATACAACATAAATTTACCATTTTCTTATGTTTAACTTAATGTACCAAATACAGTCAATGTATACTAAAAGTTGAAATGATGTTTTCTGTTTAAAGTTTAGATGAACAATTTTATTTCCAGCAACCTCAGAGAACTGACAGGAAAAAAAGCAAACTGCAATTAAAATGTATGAAACAGGCAATTCCTAAGAGGGATACTAAGTATCCTTCTCAAAATAAAATACAGATCATAATAAAAAGAGGTGGGAGAACAGTATGATTAAAAGAAAATTAAGAGACACAAGAATCAAACACCATGTATGAATCCTAACTGAATCCAAAAAATTAAAAATTTAGGAACAGCCAGGGGTATCTGAATATGGATTATTAAACATCCTCTTAACTTAATGTAGTTCTTCTATATGTGTGCAATACTATCCACAGGTTGATAATACTCATGTTAAGTTGATAAGTTTAAATTACATTATAAATTTATCTTTTTAATGTAGTTCATGTTTTTTGAAAATACGCAAATATATAAAAGGAAAAAATGTGGCAAAATGTTTACAACAAATAAACAAATGAAAGGTAATATGAATGTTTACTGTCAAATATTACCCATTTCTGCAACACTGAGCATTTTTAAAATAAAATACTGAAGGAGAGAGAAGATAGAAAGCATGAGAGGAAGTGAGTTTGACTGAAATATAAGCAGTAAAAGCAACCTTAGTCTCAGTAAATGTGGTGCTGTTGGTCAGGTCACAGGACCATTATGGATACCAAGTGAAACAGAAGGAAATGGATGATGTGTGACGTCTTTTCCAACTATAAAAAAAATCCCATTACTCTACTACTTCTCAGCTCTAAACCTCAAAAGGTAATCACATACAAAGTACGAAATTTTTAGAACTATTGTAAGTGGTAGTAAAATAGTTTAAAATATTTAAAACAGCTAGCCTAATGCCTGACACATTGAACATAAACAATAATTTTAACATGATCACATTGAAAGCAAAGGTGAAAATTTTTTTTAATGCGCAGCATGATAGTTTAGTCAGTCATTTCACTTGCAGATTCTAAAGTCAAATGAAAGAAATATATAATTAAAAGTCACAATTAGATTGTAAAGTAAAACAGTACAGATTAAAGTATTTTTCAGATGATTTTACTTCCAGTATTAACATTATTTTTATCATTAATATTTAAATTCATTTTTAATTAACCAATCTTTCAGATAATGACGAATTTTTCTAAAAGGTATGTACACTGGATGACAGTCTCCATCCAGTTACTCAAAAGCCAGGCATCTTTGTCATCCTTAGTATGTCTTTATTTGACAGCCAAACTCTGCACAAGTCCCAGAAATTCTGACTCACAAAAAAAATATGCATCTTAAATCCATTTAACTCTGTCATGTTGCCAGCACTTTATCAGTCCACCACTCTCTCTATCCTGACCAACTAAAACTACCAGCTCTCAGTTCCACCCTAGTCAGCCCATTGCTCATACAACACCAAAAATTGAAGACATCATTTAAAATTAAACAAAATCCTTGTCAAATCCTTCAAAGTCCTGACATGTCTGTAGCATGTCTTAGACATGCCTTTCTAAGTAGGCCACAAGTGTTTTTTTTCTATTCTTCAAACTCCCAAGCTCTTACCTCCTTCAAAATCTTCATACCCACTACATTTTTTTTAATTGTTTCTCCCAAGCCCTGCCCAAGTTTCACTGAGATATTATTAAATTATAATAATTTATGGCCCTCCCTGGTGGTGCAGCGGTTAAAGCACAGCACTAAGAAGCTTAAGCCACTTCCGCATGAGTTCGATCCCCACCTGCCCACCCCAGAGGAGATCCACATGGCGAGGCAGACCTTTCCTGACCCGCCCACTGCTCCCCTCAGCAGTGTACTTCGTTGATCTGCCTATTCTGCTCCCCACTCTATCTCTGGTGAATCTTCTCACCCTCCGCATCTCTGGCCTGTACCCTAGTTCTGTATGAATAAATAAATAAATCTTTTTAAAAAAATTATAATAATTTAACATGAACTCAGAAATAGAGTATGGGAAATGTTGATCAAAAGATGTAAACACCCATTTATAAGCTAATCATGATTTGGGGATCTAATACACAGCAAGGTGATTATAATTAGCAAAAATGTATTACATACTTGAATGTTTTTAAGAAAGCAGGCCTTAAACATTATCACCAATTATAAAATATGTCAGTTTAAAGTGAATAGTGTTATACTGGAAACAGGTCTATATTATAAAATAATTAACACAACAGATGAGTTACTATCTTGATCCCTTTACGTAATTACAACTAAGTGTATGGGTATGTGTGGGTATCGGGCGGGAGGGGGAGGGGGTGAGTGGTGGTGATAATATTTAAGACCTACTCTTGTAAAAACGTTGAAGTATGTAATACATATATTTTTGCTAATTATAATCACCTTGCTAATCTTGATTAGCTTATAAATGGGAGCTTACATCCTTTGACCAACATTTCCCATACTCTATCTCTGAATTCACATTCAAGATTGCACACATAAATAAAAATGTAACAGTATTTGTCTCTCTATGTCACACCTATACACTTATTTCATTCTAAGTTCCCTTCTAATTACAATAACACACACACATACACAAACACACAGTCCCTCCATTCCCAAAATATCTCCTTCTCACATACAGGTTTCACCTTAAATATGAACTATTCTATTCATAGAAATCTTCTGTGACTACACTATCTAAAGTAGCTCTCGCTTCCTTATCTCCAATATCTATTTTGCTTTGCTTCAAAAAATTTTTACAATTCATAATTATTTTGTCATGTTATCTTTAACCAGCCGCCCCCCACCCCGCCACCCACCAACTCCATATATAAGGAAGGATGGGACATTCAGAATATTCTTCATTACATTCCCCCAAAACAGCAAAATTTTAGTATAAGACTATAGATGTATATCAAATAAATAAAAGAGGCAGTAAATGAATATACAACTTCATTAGACAACTGGACTAACAATGCTAATTAATAGAAATAACAGGAACCAGAAAGAAGAGCAAGTTAAGAAGAAAAATAGGATATGCTGAGTTTAATGACAAGCATTTCAAAATATAGGACACTGGCCTCAAAAGTTGACAAAAATTGGGATTCTACTGAGTGTGTTAGCTGGAAAAATAATTACATCACAAATGAAATAGAATTCAGTACTACAAATGGGAAGCAGAAAAGAAATTATACAAATATAAAATAATTGCAGCTGGCTTAGGTAGAGAATGAACTAACATAAAGAACACTGCAAAATCAAGACAAGTCAAAACTCTTTCACAGGAAAAAAATATTTTAGTAGCTTACTAAGAAGTGAAATAATCCTACCTTACCACTGTTCATTGCTGATCATATCCTAGCTAAAGTAGAAGGTCCATATCGAAGGACTACACATCAGAAGCAAGGAAGACACGTTAGAAAATGTGCAGTGAAGACTCACGGTGATGATCATAGGTCTAACCTGAAAACAAGACCTGTAAAAAGAAATTTAAGGTGTTAGAACTGTTTGCCACAGAGAAAAAGGTAAAAATATATATATGGAATAGAGCTGACTACTAATGGAAATTAACTACAACAGTTTATCACATTTAAAAATAAGCATGGGGCCCTCCCTGGTGGCGCAGCGGGTTAAAGCACAGCGCTGAGAATCTAAAGCCGCTTCCTCATGAGTTCTATTCCCGCCTGCCCCGGAGGTGACCACATGGCGTGGCAGACCTCTCCTGACCCGCCAGCTGCTCCCCTCAGCAGTGTATTTCGTTGATCTGCCTGTTCTGCACCCCACTCTGTCTCTGCTGAATTCTCTCACCCTCCACATCTCTGGCCTGTATCCCAGTTCTGTATGCACAAATAAAATAAAATCTTTAAAAAAAAAAAAAATAAGAATGGTATACAGGTCTTCCTCTACTTATCTCGAGGTTTTATTAAGATGAACCCAACATAAGTTGAAAAATATCTAAAGTCAAAAGGCTTTTAATACATCTACTGTGTGATACACCTACTGTGCCAACCTTACATGTGCTCAACCACTGCCTTTAGCCCACAGTCAGAAATAAAGCCTATTTAATAAAATAGTGTGACTATCTCAGACACACTATTTTGTTTTTTACACATAATAAAACGCAAAAACACAAACACAATATCCAAAAAAACTGCTGGCAACTCAGTGCAGGGCAGAAAATGAGTTGTTTATCCTGGGGACAGCCCAGCTGCCTGGGAACTTCAGCTCAATACAATGACAGCACCAGGAGAGTATCATACTGCCTATGGCTAGCCTGGGGAAAGATCAAAACTCAAACTTTGATATATGATGTCTACTGAAAGTATATCATCTTCACAACATCATAAAGTCAAAGTACTATAAATTGAGCCACTGTAAATTGGGAACGCTCTGTACTTACCAACTCGTTCATCCCCTGCTCACTTTTTCCATTCACAACTTTTCCAATTCTAACATATTTTACCTATTCCCTCATTTTTGAAGAGGTAATTCATGTTCTCCATTTTCACAGTTTCAGTGAATTTCAAGTTTGAAGGACATGAAAAAAAAAGTGACTATACTTGCTTAAACATAACATTTGTTAAAGGCTGGGAAGGTCTGGAAAGAAATCTCCTGGCAAACAAACACTTTTTCTAACATGCCATATTATGTCAAAGCATAACCCTTCCATGGGTTTTCTTTCCACATACAATTAAAATGTTATTACATTCCTCTTCTTCCAATAAACTATGACATAACTGAGGAAAGAGATTATTATCGTAATACAAGTTTCACCACTATCCAAAAGCAGAACATTTCTATTTGGCATGATTTTGTAGATTATTTTTTGGAACTGAGGAGCCTTTACCCTTAAGTTATACAGACAAATCTTGAAGCATTCCAAGACCCAAAAAATAACCTACCAAATCACACCAAAGAGTAATGATCTATTTTCAGGTAGTGGGGGAAACCAGTACAGCCAGCATCTTGCAAATTACTGGAATATTCTAGCCACCAAACAAAAGGTAACTGAATAAATAAAATTCCAAGGTAAATACAATGGATAAAGCAAAGCCTGACAAGCATTGTTATATTAAATGATAGATATTATAACAAAGTGATCCTTAAACATGAATACTGTTGTCATAAATTCTTTCATAAGCTTTCAATAGAGTATCTTCAGTTCAACCCATAACATATCATAAATAGTATTACTTATAAAAATTTCCAAGAAACAATGTAGTGTCCACCTAAGTGAACACAAAATATATCTTATCTAATTGCACTCCAAAAAACAAACCTAAAAATTACTGAACAATCCATTTGATTTCAAATATTTTTAGCTTCTCTATATGCAAAGAAAGTTGCAAAAAATCATGAATTCCATATTGCACAATCTCACTCTGATACAGAAACAGTTATGTTCAAAGATCTGACAAGAAAGACAATTATTCAACAGTGACTCCATGACCAACACTGTGCAGTGCTGAATATCTTAACAAGGAAGCCAGTCAAAGCATTTGTACTATTTACATTACATCCTGCAACTCAATTATTTCCTATACTTTCATTTTTCTATGAAAAGAAGTATTTTCTACTCAATATTGTAAAAATTAGGGTTCACAAAAAGTAACAACTAATGGTAGCACTTCTAACAGGTATAATACTTTGTTCAAATTACACTAAGCCTATGAATAAAAGTTCTATTTCTTATATTACTACAAAGTATTATTCTTACCAAAACTCAGCACTGGTTTCCATATAATTACATACATACAATTAAATACATACAATTACTTTTTAATATACCTAATGTTCACCATCAAGTTCCACATCTACACAGGCTCACACTCTGACTCACACTCATAGCCAAATACAGTTCCAAATCCTTGCTGTGCTTCTCTTCATGAAGGAGACTAAGATAAGGCAAGATGCCTTAAGAGAGCAGTAAATACAGACATTCACTGTCTGCTTGGTGCAAATACCACCTTGTAGTTGCATGACCCTAAAAGCGAGTACTGTCTTAAATTTTATGTCTGAGGCATCTCTCTTTTGTTGCCTGAAACCTAGCTGACTTCTCTTTATTCCTCCCACTTCTCTTATAAATATGCCAATTCTGATAAGACAAATCTAATTATGATTTTAAAAATCTAAAGCAATGAATTTAAATGCAATTTTACATCTATTTAAAATCAAATTTTAAAAGAAAATGTTTCATTCCGGATGTCATATTAAAAATACATGAGGCAGGAATGCCCATATGCAATGAAACTTGAGGAATTTTTTTTAACGAGTTGAGTTGCATATACATACAGGTAATAGACCTGTGCTCTTCTTTTTTTTTAAATTCTAATTGTGGTGGCAGAATCCTAATTTTCTTCTATTAAACTACCCTTCTCTCCCTCTCAATCTATATAGTATGGATAGCACTGATCATTTGCACACTCCACTTCCTGGAATAACACAAAGTTCCTGCTATAGGTGCATGAATGACCCAGCCAGACAATCAGCTTATTCCCTTCATCACCCGTAGCTCAGGTAGGGATAAGTGACACACCTGAACTGGTAAGACTCGATCATAAGCTTTTTTAAGATTTACTTATTTATGCATACAAGAACCCTGGTACAGGACAGAGGTGCAAGGGGTGAGAGGACCCACCAGAGACAGCAGGGAGCAGAGCAGAGAGATCCACTGAAATACACTGTTGAGGGGAACAGCGGGTGGGTCAGGAGAGGTCTGCTGTGCCATGTGAGTCACCTCCCTGGTCAGGGATCCAAACCCCACTGCTGAGGCTGCAAAGAGCTCCATAGCACTGTGCCTCAACCCTCTGTGCCACCAGATAGGGCCCCAATCGCATTCTTTTATAGGAATTAACCAGGATGTTCTCATTCACCTGCAGTTTCTGAACTGAAAGTAAACTGTAAGTAAGCTACTTGACAGTAAGCCAATCCAGAGAAAAGAGGATCCAAGAGAAGGGCAGAGAAATGAAGAAAACTGAAATTATTTTGTCCCTAGAACTAATCATGCCTGAGTTCAAAAGAGTTTAGATGTAAACATTTGTGGCCGATTTTAGAATTACTTATGGGAAACTATTTTCTGGATGTCTCACACTCCTGCATAGGCAGAGTCTTCTGAGAAAGAGGGACCCAAAGTATATTTGCATGCAAGACAGTTGAAAGTTAATGTCTCCCTAAAGACCGTGACCTCCCATGAGCTTTAGTGAAATCAAGCCCATTCCTCCCCTTCCCTGAAGCTATCCACTTATATTCTGTTGTACTTGTATTTCTTATATGACTTTACACTTTTTACTTATATTCTAAGGTAACAAACCTAAAGACACTTTAACCCTCTTATCTGGGAGAGATTTGCTTAGTAGTAGTCTCTCTCCCCCTGCAGGGTATTCTCAATCCCATCAGAGTTTCATTCTGAACAGTTACATTATGCAACAAATCATTTTTCTCATTATATTATTTCATTCAACAAATATTCTAAGCTATGGGCCATGCATTTTCCTGTATTAACATGACAGACAAAAACTCCTCCCTTTGTGGAGATTGTATTTTAAAGAAAGAAAACAAAATAGAAAATAAAAAAGTAAAATGCAGTGCTAAGTGGTGTATAAGAGTTAATTTTTAAAAGGAAAAGGACAACAGGTAGAATGACCAAAAAGGCAAGAAAAGATAATAGTGAGTCATAGGTCAAGCAGAAAGCTTCTGGAGTCAGAACAGAAGAGGAAAAAGCCTCTGAAGAATTAGGAAGGCTCCAGAGATAAGGTCAACAAATTCCAAAGGGGACTAATCAAACTCCCCCAGACTAGGGGCAACAGGACATTCCCAGACAAGAATGATAAAGAAAAAGGACTCTAAGATAAGGGCTGTGAAGCAAAAGGTAATTCTGAGACTGTAAGGCAGAGTAAGTGAGACTACCAAGAACTAACCAATCACAAAGAGACTGCAGAGCTTTAAGATAATTAGGGAAAGAAAGTATAGGTTCCCTAAGGCAGGACTCCTTGTAGCTTCATTGCCCTTCCCTGACCTGATTTTACAGGCCAGTGAGTTCCAGCTTGTTTCTGTTTCTTTTCTCCTTAATAAACATTTCTTGTATCTTTTTCTCTAAAGAAATTTGCCCCTCTTTACTTGGTTGCCTGAGAGTGACATGCCTACTGCAGCTTCCTCAGACACAAACCCCTGGTAGCTTAGTGGCTGGGACTCAATGCTGCCCCTGCAGCCTGGGATCATCTCCTGGCTGAGAGACTATACCTGAAATTAAAGTAACAATAGGTATGGAGGAAGCAGTAGGTTTCAAATTTATGTTGACAAAAGAGCTTATAGATAAAATATTGGAGCAAGGACATGAAGAGATAAGGAAAGGAATCCTATGGACCCCTGAGTAGAGCATTTGACAGGGAGACAAACAGTAAATACAAAATACCTACTTAGGGAAAAACAGGGAGGTTTACATAGAGTGGAAAATCTAAGTTCAAAAAAGATTGTGCC